GTCTTCTCTCTTGAATTGAATGCTTGAAGATTCCAGCTTAGTCCAATGCACGTGCACTATTATTATTATTCATACTATTCAGCCGTGCAAGTGAAAGGCAATAATGATGATTATATGATGAACTTATTGAGATGAGAAAACTGGTATGAACTCGACCTCTCTTGTTTTTGTAAATATGATTAGTTCATCGTTCATGATTCAACCTATTATGAATAAACATGTTTGCAATGACAATTAGAGATTATAGTTGCTTATGCCATGCTTAATTAGCTAGGAGCTTATAACGGTTTACCTTGCGTGCCGACATGCTATTAAAATGGTTGTGATGTGGTATGATAGGGTGGTATCCTCTTTTGAACGATTCGAGTGGCATGACTTGACACATGTTCACGCATGTAGTTGAAACAAAATCAACACAACCTCTACGATATTTATGTTCATGGTGCATTATATCCTACTCATGCTTGCATTCGGTGTTGATTAATTTTAATGCATGTTCATGACTGTTGTCGCTCTCTAGCTGGTCGCTTCTCAGTCTTTTTCTAGCCTTCACCTGTACTAAGCGGGAATGCTGCTTGTGCATCCAATTCCATAAACTCCAAAGTTATTCCATATGAGTCCACCATACCTACCTATATACGGTATCTACCTGTCGTTCCAAGTAAATTTGTATGTGCCAAACTCTAAACCATCAAATAAACATTCTGTTTTGTATGCTCGAATAGCTCATGTATCAACTAGGGTTGTCCGTATCTTCCATGTTAGGCGGGTTATTCTCAATAGGAGTGGACTCCGCTCCTCACTCACAAGAAAATGGCTGGTCACCGGGATGCCCAATCCCATGCTTTACGCAAATCAAATCAAAATAACTGCAAACAAAACTCCCCCGGGACTCTTGTTAGTTGGAGGCACTCGTTGTTTCGAGCAAGCCATGGATTGATGCTTGTTGGTGGAGGGGGAGTATAAACTTTACCATTCTGTTTGGGAACCGCCTATAATGTGTGTATCATGGAAGATATCGCCATCTCTCGGTCGTTATGTTGACAATGAAAGTATACTGCTCAAAATATTATTCATATCTATTTCAAAACTGAGCTCTGGCACCTCTACAAATCCCTGCTTCCCTCTGCGAAGGGCCTATCTATTTAATTTTATGCTGAGTCATCATCCTCTTATTAAAAGCACCAGTTGAAGAGCACCGCTGTCATTTGCATTCATTACTGTTAGTTTACATTGAGTATGACTTGACTGGATCTCTTTTACCATGAATTACAATGTCTAGTCAGTCCTTGATCTTTAAAGGTGCTCTGCATTTATGTTTTGCGGTCTCAGAAAGGGTAGTGAGATACCATCTTGTTATATCATATCATAATTGTTTTGAGAAAGTGTTGTCATCCGAGATTTATTATTATTGCTCGCTAGTTGATCATGCCATTGATATGAGTAAACATGAGACCTAAATGTTATTTTGGCTATGGTTAGTTCATAATCTTTGCTGAAAACTTGAATGCTGGCTTTACATATTTACAACAATAAGAGCAAAGAAAGTTTGCAAAAAAAATTCTTTATCACTTTTAGTTTATCAACTGAATTGCTTGAGGACAAGCAAAGGTTTAAGCTTGGGGGAGTTGACACGTCTCCGTCGTATCTACTTTTCCAAACACTTTTGCCCTTGTTCTGGACTCTAACTTGCATGATTTGAATGGAACTAACCCGGATTGACGCTGTTTTTAGCAGAATTGCCATGGTGTTATTTTTGTGCAGAAATAAAAGTTCTCGGAATGACCTAAAAATCAATGGAGAATTATTTTGGAATATATAAAAAATACTGGAAGGAAGATCCACATTAGGGGGGCCTCCACCTGTCCACGAGGGTGGGGGCGCGCCCTACCCCCTAGGCGCGCCCCCTGCCTCGTGGGCCCCCTGACGCTCCACCGACCTCAACCCTGACTTCATATATTCACTTTCGGGGAGAAAAAAACCAGGGAGAAGGATTCATCACATTTTATGATACGGAGCCGCCGCCAAGTCCTAAACTTTCTCGGGAGGGCTGATCTGGAGTCCGTTTGAGGCTCCGGAGAGGGGAATCCGTCGCCATCGTCATCATCAACCTCCATCACCAATTTCATGATGCTCACCGCCGTGCATGAGTAATTCCATCATAGACTTGCTGGACGGTGATGGGTTGGATGAGATTTCTCATGTAATCGAGTTAGTTTTGTTAGGGTTTGATCCCTAGTATCCACTATGTTCTGAGATTGATGTTGGTATGACTTTGCTATGCTTAATGCTTGTCACTAGGGCCCGAGTCCCATGATTTCAGATCTGAACCTATTATGTTTTCATCAATATATGAGAGTTCTTGATCCTATCTTGCAAGTCTATAGTCACCTACTATGTGTTATGATCCGGCAACCCTGAAGTGACAATAATCGGGATCACTCCTGGTGATGACCGTAGTTTGAGGAGTTTATGTATTCATTGTGTGTTAATGCTTTGTTCCGATACTCTATTAAAATGAGGCCTTAATATCCCTTAGTTTCCAATAGGACCCCACTGTCACGGGAGGGTAAGACAAAAGATGTCATGCAAGTTATTTTCCATAAGCACATATGACTATATTCAGAATACATGCCTACATTACATTGATGAATTGGACCTAGTTCTGTGTCACCCTAGGTTATGACTGTTACATGATGAACCGCATCCGGCATAATTCTCTATCACCGATCCATTGCCTACGAGCTTTCCATCTATTGTTCTTCGCTTATTTACTTTTCCGTTGCCATTGTTATCATCACTATAAAATACCAAAAATATTACTTTTGCTACCGTTACCTTTTGCTACCGTTACCACTACCATCATATTACTTTGCTACTAAACACTTTGCTACAGATATTAAGTTTCTGGGTGTGGTTGAATTGACAACTCAGCTACTAATACTTGAGAATATTCTTTGGCTCCCCTTGTGTCGAATCAATAAATTTGGGTTGAATACTCCATCCTCGAAAACTGTTGCGGTCCCCTATACTTGTGGGTTATCAAAGCCGCCATCGTGCCCATCCAACACCGAATTGAGGCTTTCGCCCGGAGACAACCGCCAACTCCAAGAGAGCGAGGGAGATGACGAACACGCCTCGGCGACGCCTCCAAGAAGGGGAATGACAACCATGGTTGCCATCACCGTCGGTCCGATAATAGCCGTGCAGGATTTTCATCCTGCGCGTCGCCCATCTCCACACCTCCAAGGACCTGGCAACAACGTCCAAGTAGTCTCGCACCGCCGCCACCGCATCACCTTGCCGAGGTAGCCGCGGAGCCAAGGACCAACGACCGATCGCACGGCAAGGGGAAACGTGGCCACACCACCAACACCCAACCTGGACGGAGAATCACAACCACCCCACTCCTCCGGCAAGGTCCATGATCGCCCGCTCCAAGGGACGGCCTTGACGACCAGGCCCCCCTTTCCACGCCATGCATCACCACCGCTCACCACGCTGCCCAACGGTGGCAGACCGCTCGCTGCTCGCCAGGACTCCATCCTGGCTGAGCCTCCATAGTGCCGCCACCTACCTGACCATGGGCTCGCGCCGCCGCCACCAGGAACGTGATACCGCACCGCTACAAGTCCTCGCCAGACCCTCTCGCTCCACCAGTCATCTTGCCATGCTCCAGCCGTCGACCTCGCATCCGACCATCACAGACTGGCCTAGCCCGAACCCCGCAATGTCGAGAGGCGCCGCACCCCCCAGCCCACGCACTCCGCCAGGACGCGCTGCGACCGCCCAGACCCCCGAGAACCACCGTCATGGATGGAGCAGAAGCCCCTAGCGCCCCCACACTAGAAGAGGGCGAGACAGATCCCGCCGACACTGGCATCGCATGGGCTTTGCCCGCCGGGGCCCGCCGACAGCGGCGGCTAGGTTGGAGCACCTAGGTCGCCCGCGGGGAGGCGACACAGGGGCCAGGGAGGGGAAGGGAGTCGGTCTTTGTTTGCAACGGGCTCACATTTAAATGTTTTCACTCATCGAATAGTTGATATGCTATTATTTTAAGTACCGCGGACTTAAAAAGACAGGAGCAAACATTTGGGGGAATGATTGGATGACCGGCTCCCGTATTTGGGTCCGAGGACGAGTCCACGTACAAATACCGTTTTCATTTTAAGAATCGGCGCTCTGAAACTATTTCCACATAATAAAAGAAAACAAAGTCCAGTTTATACAGTAGCAAAACAAAACAAAACCCTTGTTACGACAGTACGAGTACTAAGCAACCCTCGCTGTGTGCCCCATGGCAGACACACCAAACAGTCTAGTGGTGTCATTCATTCACACTCTTGAGTCTTGACAGCGAAGCATCTCTGTTCTGCGACACAGCCAGAGCAGCCGCAGCGCAAGCGGAGGCATATTTCTCGTCGAAAGAGTTTTAAAAGCCCGAACAAATGCGCAGGTAGAAGCCAAACCAAATATTTGTTTTTCTATTATTTCCCTTTTCCCCTCCCCTTTTCCACTAAGACCAAGACGAAACACTCATCCTCCCAACTCCACCTGCTTCGCTTCCTCTCCACTTCACCAAACCAAACCCTCGGGTGGGGGAGAGCGGAGCAGAGCACAGCGGAGCAGAGAGGAGATGGCGAGCGCAAGCAATGCGCAATGAGTGGCGGCACCCTCGCCTTCACTGCTCCTGCTTTTGCCTTCTACTAGCTGCTGCTCGGTGCCTCGGGTTGGCGCAGTGGGTGGCACTGGGAAGGGGATTCATTCCTTCGCGCCGCGCCTCTCGTCGGCCACGCCTCCACCGCCCGGATCTGGGCCGCAGCGCCGAGATCCTGAGCTCAGATTCGTGAGCTCCCTCCCTCTCTCCGGTACGGCGTTTTCTCGGGTTTTTACCGGGGTGTCCGTTGATGGTGATGTTTGTTGGCTAGTGCAGCCAGCGCTGCACGGATTTGTCCTGAATTGGTTTGGTGGTGGATTATCTGTCGGCTCAGGTGGCGGCCATGGATTCCCCGGCTGCCGGTGAAGGACAGCGGTTCAAGCGGATTCCAAGGCAGCCTTGTGGCCGGAACCTGGAGCTGGATCCACTGGTACGTCTCGCTCCCTACTCCTGCGTGTTTCCTTGGTTTGGTTGTGCCAATGCGGCTCTCGTGTATATTTCGTTTTGTCGAGTGTTGTGGTAGTGCATACAATGTGGTACTACCTGGGAAGCCCCAGAGTTTGAAATGACATTGAATTGTGTGCGCTCCAGATCTCTCCGCATTCGTTGCTTAGGGTTTTGGGTTTCTTAACGTGCGCATGCTTCAGTGAGAGGAGAGCTGAGGAGTTTAAACTGATGTTGTTGGTATTAGTGCCAGTGGTGAACTGCTGCTTGCTATGTGCTGCTCATGTCAAACCTGCATTGCAGGATATAGTTGTCTAATCTCCTTATTTCCAGGGCGCTTCTGTTGGGGTTTTCAACAGATAGCTGATCTTTTCTTATGCTTAGCCTCACAATGCTATGTTGGTTTTTGGTTTGCTGCTATTTTGGGAATGAGCTCATTGAGTGGTCCATTTTGGATGTGTGCCCATATCTGGACAATGAGTTGAATTGTTCACTGTATTAGTAGACCACCAAGAATGGAACCACAGTACTTGACCACTACTATATGATCCATGGCTATACGTTTTCCATCGTTCTCACGTATGGCATTCCATGATAGAGCTATGTCCTTAGTATCAGTATTGCACATCTTTAGTGGCTGATAATTCAGTTTGCTCCTTTGGGTTTCAATCAGGAAAAAGTAACAATTTCCGGCTGCAATTTTGAGAATTAAGGATGAAAAAGCTAAGCTTCTTTCTGTTTTTTCAGCTTAATGAGAATTTGGAACAGTGGCCACATCTAAGTGAGCTAGTACAGTGTTATAACGCTGATTTTGTGAAAGATGACTGCAAATATGGACGCTATGAGAGTGTCGCGCCACCGTCCTTTCAGAATCAAATTTTCGAGGGACCTGACACCGACATAGAAACAGGTAATCCAACATCCTTGTGACTGGATTAGCTTCTTATACATGGTTTACTTAATATTTTTATATATTTGCTTTGTCATAGAATTGCAGCTTTGCAACGCTAGGCATTCCAAGCCTGAGGAAACTACTGAGGATGATATGCCAAGCACTTCAGGGAGGCAAATATATGAAACTGAACCATCTGCTTCATCTTCAAAAAAAGTAAGTGCATATTCACTAGATTTCTGTTTTAGGTGGATTCTTACCATATGTTCTCTTTCTTGCCCCTCTAGTAGCAGACTACATGCTAAACTAATTTCTCTGCGGTTTAACCCTAGTGCCTTGGTCCTCAACTCCTCATATGGGATAATAAAAACTATATTGTGAATTGCTCATACATGTATTTATCTTGTCCTTGTTTCAGCTACTACAATACTTTCCTGTTGAACTTTTGTTCATTTGTATCACTTGTGTCGATCCTTTATGCGTTCAGTCGACTAGTACTTTTTCACTTCGTTTTTTTTACTTCCTGTGCAAAGTGCAAAGAAGGTACATTCCACAGTACTGTTGACTTGAATGTTTCTAGCAGAAATTAAGCTGTGACCTTTCTTTGTTTAATGCATTTGACCAATTGTCATTAGCATATACGGTATGAGGTTTGTCATCTTGATGTCAGCATTAACGACATGTTGCCCTGCTTGTTTTTTCAGCATTGTACTCTCTCACCTTTACCGGCATATGAACCTGCATTTGATTGGGACAATGAGAGATCTTTAATATTTGGCCAACGCCTGCCAGAAAGTCTCCCTGCAACACACAGCAGGTTTGCTTTAAGCTGCACACTCAAGCATTACATCTCTTTGCTTTTGTTTGCACTTCTTACTCTGGGCAATCTTTGTTACTACTTACTGGTCACATGTTATAACTTGATCTCTACTGCTTGCAGTGGATTGAAGATAACGGTCAAGGTATTGTCTTTGTCATTCCAAACTGGATTAGTCGGTGAGCAAAAATATTATTTCTATGTGTTTGTTCAACACTTCTAAACTGCAATATGTTCTCATTTATACTTCGCAGCATGATGACTGACCTACCTTTTGGTAATGTATCATGTGCAGAACCTTTTAGCGGTACAATCTGCTTGTACAACAGAGATAGGAGAGAAAAGCTATCCGAGGACTTCTACTTCCACATACTTCCAACAGAAATGCAAGATGTAAGGAGCAACGTTTATTACTCCGTTCGGGGCCAATATTTCTCCTCTAAAATTTTGCTACTGATACCGGCAGATAGAAACAGTTGTAGCTTGTCAAATATACTGAAATTCCATATTAACATAATTTAAATCGCTGACCATTTTCATCCCTTTCGCGTTTGACCAGGCTCATATATCTTTGGACCGTCGGGGTGTTTTCTCATTGGACACCCCTTCACCATCAATCTGCCTTCTGATCCAGCTAGAAAAGGCTGCTACTGAAGAAGGGGGAGTAACTCCTTCCATTTATTCCCGTAAAGAACCTGTAAGAAATAAATCTCCCTCCTTTAATCGCATGTTCCATTACTCTAATGCTCAGTTTTGTGACAGGTGCACTTGACTGAGAAAGAGAAGCAGAAGCTGCAAGTTTGGTCTCGAGTCATGCCATACAGAGAGCCATTTGCATGGGCAATGATTCCTCTGTTTGAAAACAACCATGCTGGTGGTGATGCTGCCTCTCCTAGCAGCCCTTTAGCACCAAGTATGTCAGGCTCAAGTTCTCAAGATAGCATTGTGGAGCCTATCTCCAAACTCACTTCAGATGGAAAACTCAACCATTATTCAAGTGGAAGTTCTGTTATTGTTGAGATATCAAACTTAAACAAAGTGAAGGAAAGCTACATGGAAGACTCCCTCCAAGTAAGCATTATAGCTGAGCAAAGTCAGTTAATGTTGTTACTTAAGTGATTATTAACTAATTAATCATGCCAATTCTTGTGTCGCTTGTAGGATCCAAAACGAAAAGTACACAAGCCAGTGAAAGGTGTGCTAAGGCTAGAGGTGGAAAAACTTCATAATGACCGTAATGAGGCGGATACCATTTCTGAAGGTGGGAGCATAACCAATGAATTGCATGATGCTGGCGAGCTCAATAATGGCAGACACAGCAGGAATAGCATTGATGGGATCCACAGTTCTCTGAATTCTAGTGCCATTGTCAAGAAAGATACACACCAGAATGGTCAAAGTTCCAATGGAGAGAATGGCAACAATGTAACTAGACGAGTTCCTCATCCACCTCTTGTGTTCAGTTCTCGATTTTGAAACTTATGTTGTAGGATTTCATGTCTTTTCTGTTCATGTGAGATGCATTCTTTCTTGTTACAGTTTCAAGCTTTTGACTTTCGGATGATGGCCCGGAGTGAACCATTTTCACAACTTTTCCATTGCCTCTATGTGTACCCATTGACTGTTAGCTTGAGCCGCAAAAGAAATCTATTTGTAAGGGTAGAATTGAGGAAGGATGATTCTGACATACGTAAACTTCCAGTAGAGGTTTGTTCATGAAGTTATCATACCCCTTTTGCTCTGTTGGTGGTGTCTGTTCAATGTTCTAAGTGACTAGATATATGGGGTTTCAGGCTGTCCATCCAAGGGATCAGAATTCAACACTACAGAAGTGTGCCCATACCCAAATTTCTGTTGGCACAAGAATGTCTTGCTACCATGACGAAGTTAAGATCAGTCTGCCTGCTCTATTGACGCCCCAACATCATCTTCTGTTCACATTTTTCCACGTAGATCTCCAAATGAAACTTGAAGCCCCTAAACCAGTATGCCTTCTGTTCCTTGTCAATTAGGACACATTAATACAGTTGGTTTATCTCTTCATGTTTATTTTGCTGGTTTCTAACATGTTTGTGCTCCTTCAGGTGATTGTGGGATATGCTGCACTTCCACTGTCGACACACATTCAGTATGTATTAGATTGTCATCTTTATTTTTGTATACACGAAATGATTAAATGGAACTAGTCTGAGCCTGTCGCTTCATACGTGGGATCACATTCAAGTCAACGCGTTATGAATCATGATTTATTTATCATCTTAACTTAACTCTGTTTATGTGACAGAAAGTGAATATATGAACTAAGACGACTGAGCATTGTGTTTGTCCGCTGCTTATTCGTCCTAGGACGACTGTAACCGACTCCCTATCTTTTCAATGAAATGAAACGCAAAGGTCTTTTGCGTTTTCTCGAAAAAAAAGAATATATGAACTAAGCTTTCTTGCTAAAACTTGTGAGGTGGTCTTTTATAGTATTGTTTAACTCGTGAAGCTTTATTGCCACCTAGCTTGGCTAGCTAATTAACTAACCTTAGTAAATTTAAAATTTACTCCTGTTACTTGTGCAACTAAGAAGTATGTAAACACCATGGTGCTTGTTCACTAGCAAGACTGCAAGTGCATACTGCTTACTGTACTTTCTAGCACAATGTCTGTATGTTGCTACTTGCTATGGGTTAAAAGAGCTTATACATGTTAAAGAGGATATACTACTGCCTCTGTCAGATCAAATCATCTAAGGAGTAAAGATAATAAAAAATGGGAGCTGACTGCCTTCTGCAATAGCAGTTTGGCCTTCTGCAATAGCAGTTTGGACATAACATATGAACGTACTTCTGGGCATATACCTTTTTTTTCAATGTAATGTTGAAGGGCCATCTACTCAGTTCTACTTCTACCACAAGTTTGACGAGGAACTCTGAAGTGCTTGCAGTCTCTTAAATATTAGCGTGAGTTGATGAGAATGAAATTGAATTTGATATGTAGCAATTTTTGAATCCAATAGGTTACTTTCGGATGTGTCTTTGCCAATTTTACGAGAGCTTGTTCCGCATTACCTGCAGGAAAGTGGAAAGGTTTGCTACTTGTCCTGTTTCCTTTTGCTGTTTTTCTACCGTGATTGCAGAATTATCCTCAAATGCATTTGCTGTAATAGTACCTGAAAGTTGCAATTCTTATACAGGAAAAAATGGACTACCTGGAGGATGGAAAAACTGTTTTCAGGCTGCGGTTAAGACTTTGCTCTTCGTTGTTTCCAGTTAATGAAAGGATAAGGGACTTTTTCGTTGAGTATGACCGTCACACACTACATACAAGTCCACCTTGGGGTTCTGAGCTTCTTGAGGTATCCTTTTACCGCTGAATGGCTTAGATTGGAGCTTCTGATGTTAGTTTCTTTCATGATCCCTCCCCTGCTGAATGGCTTTGATAATAATATACCTTTGAGTTATGCCTGGATGATACCTATTAGAATATGTAAAAAGATGGAAAAAGTTGTGCAGTATTTGTTATGTTCTACATGTCTAATTAGATATGGAATATGGCCAAGTTCTAGAGCATAGAGGAAATTATCTGTGTTGAAGTGTATATGTGGATTGCCTAGCCCTTTCCATCAGTTCGGACTTTTGGTTGCGTTGGCTAGTGCATGAATCTTAACATGGTATCAGGGCCCAAGGTCTTGTGTTCAAGTCTTGGCTTTCGCAATTTAGGGTGTTGAAGTGTATTGTGGATTGCCTAGCCCTTTCCATCAGTTTGGACTTTCGGTTGCGTTGGTAGTGCATGAAGCTTAACATGGTATCAGAGTTAAGGTCTTGAGTTCAAGTCCTGGCTTTTGCAATTTATCTAAAAATTGTTGTTCCCCCCTTTGTGTCCACATATAGGCCTCTTGAACCGTACCTCTGAGTCTGTCCACGTGTTGACTTTCCGCGTCACACGTGAGAGGGGGTGTTGAAGTGTATATGTGGATTGCCTAGCCCTTTCCATCAGTTCGGACTTTTGGTTGCGTTTGCTAGTGCATGAAGCTTAACAATCTGCACTGTGTATTTCAATATTTGTTTGTGGCATTTTGCACAAATTTACATTGTGTTGGTACTTGCACCATATACCGACGATACATATGTCTAACCTTATTTTTTGGGGGGGTTGCAGGCAATAAATAGTTTAAAGAATGTTGAATCTACTGCATTGTTACAATTTCTTCAACCAATACTCAATATGCTGCTACATCTTATTGGCGATGGTGGTGAAACCCTTCAGGTTGTTACTTTGCTTATTATGTTTCCATTCTGCATAAGCACATGCGCCGTTTTGACTGAACTACATTTCTTGCCGAGTGTTTATATTGATGATATTACACATTAGTTTTGACCCTATAGATTTATTTTTCTTGCAGGTTGCTGCATTTCGAGCCATGGTTAATATTCTAACCCGGTAATTCCCTGTTTTGCTGTTCGGTTTGTCCTCATCCCTCTGATATTTGTGTGCAGCTGTGCACCAGTTTCTTTCAATAGCTCTAGCATTCCATGTTCGTCCAACTTCTCAAAATCCTAATTCCAAACATTTAGACGGCCTATCCTTTGCTGGAGAAAAAAATAAAAGAATATTTGGATGGCTTTTTCATCTCATGTGTCATGAAGTCTGATTCTCTTAGTTTGTGCTCACTAAAGTGGTGCTGCATTTTGAGCGAAGTATAAACTGTTAAGTTTTATATTATGTGAGCGCTTGCTGATTGCACTTGCATATGTTGCAGCACAACAAACAAGGATGTGGGAAAGCTGTTAACATCATGTTGCCATATTACCATATTTGTCTTTAGAGGCCCTATCACACAAGATCTTTGCGCTCTTCTCTCATCTTTAGCAAAATCTGAATGTCTGGCTTTAATTCTTTAAAAAAATATTTTACGATCCCCCCAGTAGAATTATTCATTCAGGAGTCATGACCATGTATGTACCTTAAATTGTGTTAAAGTCGATGCATTTCTATCGCAGGGTGCAACAGGAATCATCTGATGGAGCTGGGAGAAATAAGTTTCTCGTTAATTATGTTGATTTTGCTTTTGACGACTTCGGTGATCGGCAGACACCTGTATACCCTGGTTTGTCTACTGTTTGGGGCAGCCTAGCTCGTAGTAAGGTTAGTATGGATTTCTTCTCTCTGCTTGAAGTAATGAAATTTGAGTTCGTTCTACTTTATTTCATGCCGCGTTTAATTTTTTATGTATGAACCTGTTAATGCATGGGGGTAAACATTCATCTGCGGATGGTCATAATTGACTACTTGAGGTAAAATGGTGCTAGGTTACTGGGGTAAACATCCGTCTGAATGAGGGTGACGATTTGGTGAGGACTATACCTAGAATAGTCAGCCAAGTGTGCAGGACTTAGAGACTAGGTTAGACTTCTTTGTTATTCATCTTATGATAATTCCCTTATATAGCCATCCGCCTAACAAGGATATCTAGTGCAACCAATAAACTGGAGACAATCATATCAAGGGGAGTGCATGGCAGGACGTAGAGAGACTATGATAGATTTCTTTGTTGTTTACGATGTAAAGGATGATAACACTTATATACCACATCACTTGCACCAATAATAAGTATTTGCATCAGCGACTAGTTAATATAGTGGACTTGATTATTAACCTTTTGCTTTTACTGTTATTTGCAACTCAATATATCCTTTTTAATGGTTATTTTCTTACACTTTTCTGCTTCAATTGTGTCTGTTCATTCAATCTGCTTACTTTTAACAGAGATGCATCTTTCTGCTGCTCTGCTTCACCATTGTACACTTTTGTCATTTTAGGCTAAAGGTTATAGAGTTGGACCTGTCTATGATGATGTGTTGTCAATGGCTTGGTTTTTTCTGGAGCTTATTGTAAAATCAATGGGATTGGAACAAAGTCGTCTCTTCTACCACAATCTTCCACTTGGTAGGACCAACTAGCGAGCACTTATAGCTGCAGTCATTAGTATATCAGTATCAATACATAAATACTTAATTAGACTACGTAATATGGTCCTAATTGTTTGCTGCCATGTGCTAGGTGAAGATGTCCCACCGCTGCAGTTGAAAGAAGGAGTCTTCAGATGCATCATGCAGCTATTTGATTGCCTTCTAACTGAGGTTCATGAACGCTGTAAAAAGGGTTTAAACTTGGCGAAGCGCTTGAACAGCACTCTTGCTTTCTTCTGTTACGATCTTTTATCAATCATTGAGCCACGCCAAGTTTTTGAGCTGGTAATGCTGGACATCACATTTAAGTTTGTCCCTCCCCTTGCTCGTGAGGAGCTTCATTCCAAATACTGATATGCATAACTATGCATTTGTGTTCTTCAGGTTTCATTGTATATGGACAAGTTTGCAGGGGTTTGCCAGTCAGTCCTCCATGATTGCAAATTGACATTCCTGCAAATAATATGTGATCATGATCTTTTTGTTGAGATGCCTGGTCGGGATCCCACTGATAGGTAGGTCCCACTCTAAATTCGTGGATTACCAAGCTAGGGAACTATAAATACTCCAGTTTGCCAAAACTGTTTTAATAGACCAGCAATGTCGTTCAGAGCCTTTGGTCTCCTAATACTCTTCTTACTCCAAGTTCTTTTAACTACCAAGACATTTTTTTACGTTCTCCATAAATATAATGGCATGATGATTTTATACCTTTTGTGTCCTCTAGTCCTTACAATGATTACACTTTGTTTTACTTAAACATTACCAACCCTGGTTTATTCTTTGCTTCGATGTTAGAATAATATTATGTGCAAATATCCTCTTGAAATTCCAATCAAAAACACTTGTGAATGTCTCATGCTCTAACATGCTGCAAATTGTGGCAGCTTTTTATATTTTCTGATGATTTTTTACTATGATATCCCCTTTGCAGGAATTATCTCTCGTCGGTTCTTATTCAAGAGATCTTTCTCACCCTTGATCATGATGATTTGTCACAGCGAGCGAAAGTAAGCATCTCAATTGAGATCGAAGTGCTTTGGTCTACATCTCAATGCATTACTTCACCATCTCACATATGATGTTAACTCATTCTTGTTTTGTCATTATTGTAGGCGGCTCGTATTTTAGTTGTTCTTATATGCAAGCATGAATTTGACGCGCGATATCAAAAAAGTGAAGACAAGCTGTACATTGCTCAGCTGTATTTTCCTCTTATAGGACAGGTTTGAGATATTCACATCACAATTAACTTCCTTGAAATGAATATCAATAATCAGAACTCTGTTTCTCTGCAAGGTTTGGCATACACGCGGTTCTTCTTACAGTTTCTTTTCCTGTGAAAAACACCTTGCAGATTCTTGATGAGATGCCTGTGTTCTATAACCTAAATGCCATTGAAAAACGTGAAGTGCTAGTGGTCATTTTGCAAATCATAAGGAACTTGGACGACACAACTCTTATAAAAGCATGGCAACAGAGCATTGCTAGAACCAGATTGTTCTTCAAGCTACTTGAAGAATGTATAACCCATTTTGAGGTTCGTACAACCCTTTTTTATTTAGAATGTTGAAGTTTTTGTCATTGTTATCAACTTCTGTGACTGAGTGTGATGTTTCTACACTTCAATTATAATTCTGACTAGTAAAATCTCAGTGCACAAAAGATTTCTGACGGGGTGTACAATTTGTTTGATGATTTGCAAAGTACTCTTGGGTGACTGGTCGGAGTGGTATCTGAATGACTGAATCCAACTTTTTTCTGGCGTTCCTGTTGGATGTTTTGACTTATTCCAACTTAGACAACACACTCATCTTTTAACTGGTGGCACTATTGCATGACAGGGTTCTGAATCTTCTTTGTTACCATAAAACCACGTTGATTCGCAATAGTTTATTCAGAACTAAACTAAATCTCCCGAATTCTCTCTGCAGCATAACAGAACAGGAGACAGCTTGCTACTAGGTTCTAGTTCTCGGAGCCCTGATGCTGAGCGCCCTGCGTCCCCCAAGTATTCTGATCGGTTATCCCCATCAGTTAACGCATATTTGTCTGAGGCTTCGCGCCATGAAATAAGGGTATGGTGCCAAATTATTTATAGGAGCCTAATTTTCCAGCAGTAGTACTTTTACCTGTACTTTTCACAGGGTGAACAGTTTGAGTATGAATAAGCTCTGACATGCATGAACTTGAATCATGTTGGCTTTCTTGGTATGTCTCAGCATTGCTGGTTACTGTTTTTTTTTGGTGGCAAAGTTAAGATGCTATTGGAGAGAATGTGGACAGTAGACATCCTTATAAGAAACTGATTGGACTTGGCTTGTGTTATATTCCAAATAGTTCATTAAGTGTGGTTCATGTATATCAGTTTATGAAATGCGCATCATTTGAAGTATAAATAAAACATTAGTGAGTAAAGGGTTATATTCTCGACTGTGTTACCATGTGGCTAGCAAGACTGATTAATCAGCCAAGTCTTTCTCACTACACTGGTGCTCCACTTTCAGCTTTGGCCATTACTCTTCTTGGCATGGTTTTTTAATGCCACTGGGATCACATAATTCTTCAGAAGATGCCAACTGACAAAGTTTATTATCTGGCCCTGAAGGAGTAGTTTACTTGAGTGTCAGAATAAGGCTCGACGTCCACTAATATCTACTGAGCCTGCAGTGGTGGAGTTGAGCCTGTTTCATGCTAGAGAGTGATTTTATTTACTTGTTCTGAACACACATACTTTGTAGGAGATGTGACGAAAAATCATCATGAGAAAAATTGTTAGTTATTTGTCATGACTGCTATTTAATGCAGCCCCAGGGAACACCGGAAAATGGGTACATGTGGAACAGGATTAGTCCTCAGCTAAGTTCCCCAAATCAACCCTATTCATTGAGGGAAGCACTTGCGCAAGCGCAATCTTCAAGAATAGGATCAACAGCCAGGGCATTGAGAGAGTCCCTACATCCAATACTGAGACAAAAGTTGGTAAGTATTACATTCCCATGTGAATCTTGTGGTGATTTAAACTTTCTTCAGTCTGACAGAAAATTCCTACAGGAACTCTGGGAAGAAAATCTTAGTACTGCTGTGAGCCTTGAAGTCTTGGGAATAATTGATAAGTTTTCAGTTGCTGCAGCTTCTCGAAGCATCTCGACTGACTATGCTAAGCTAGATTGTGTAACATCTATCTTGATGGGTCTTTTATCTAGGAGCCAGCCCTTGACTTTTTGGAAAGCTTTCCTTCCTGTGGTCTATAATATATTTAGTCTCCATGGTGCAACACTGATGGCAAGGGAGAATGACCGCTTCTTGAAGCAAATTGCTTTTCATCTTTTGCGACTTGCTGTATTCCGAAATGATTCTGTTAGAAAAAGGGCCGTTGTTGGGTTGCAGATCCTTGTTAGGGTAAGCTGCTTGCTGAATTTGAGTTCTATAAAATCATGAAACGACTTTACCTGATACAGATGTTTTTTTTGTGCCTCTAGAACTCATTCAACTATTTCAAGAGCACCACAAGGCTGAGGGTCATGTTGACTATTACTTTGTCAGAACTGCTATCTGATGTGCAAGTAACTCAGATGAAATCCGATGGATCTCTTGAAGAAAGTGGTGAAGCTCGGCGTCTTAGGAAATCACTGGAGGAAATGGCTGATGTAAGGAGTAAGGATCAGTTGAATGATTGTGGCCTTCCTGTTACTGCACTGGAAGTGGCTGCTGAAGGTTCCACAGACAATAGGTGGTCTTGGGTAGAGGTTAAGCATCTATCAAAGTGTCTAGTCCAGGCCCTTGATGCTGGCCTTGAACACGCCCTTTTGGTAAGCAAGTTTTGGCAAAATAATCATTACTGTGCTATCCATAAAAGTGATGTACTACCTCCGATCCAAAATAAGTGCCCCAGTTTTGAACCATTTGTTCATGTCATCTGGACAACCGAAACACTACTAATATGTGATTATACTTTTAGTGATGTCATTTTTATGCATCTGATTTTCTTGATTAAGTATTGAGCACTGAACCTGTAAATTTTAATGTTCTTTTCAGGGTTCTGTAATGAGTGTGGACAGGTGTGCAGCTGCTGAGGGTTTCTATAAGCTAGCATTGGCCTATGCCCCTGTTCCGGATCTTCACATTATGTGGTTACTGCACCTTTGTGATGCACACCAGGAGATGCAGTCATGGGCTGAGGCCGCGCAGTGCGCAGTTGCTGTAGCTGGTGTGATCATGCAGGTTGTAATGTTAACTTCTGTTCTTCTATTCCTTTAATTTCTCTGTGGAGTTTTATGACCTTCGAACCCTTCTTACAGGCACTTGTTGGAAGGAACGATGCTGTGTGGAGCAAGGAGCATGTTGCCTCCCTCTGTAGGATTTGCCCTATTGTGGGCACTGATATAGGTGCAGAAGTAGCTGCAGCAGAAGTTGAAGGATATGGTGCATCCAAGCTTACTGTGGATTCGGCCGTCAAGTATCTTCAACTTGCGAACAAACTCTTTGCACAAGCTGAACTTTACCACTTCTCTGCCAGTATCCAGGAACTTATCATTCCTGTGTACAAAAGCAGAAGGTCTTATGGGCAGCTGGCTAAATGTCACACGTCACTCACAAGCATATATGAGTCAATTCTTGAACAGGAGGCTAGCCCTATCCCGTTCATTGATGCTACCTACTACAGAGTTGGATTCTATGGGGAACGATTTGGCAAGCTCAATAAAAGGGAGTATGTGTTTAGGGAGCCGCGGGATGTTCGTCTGGGTGACATTATGGAGAAGCTTAGTCATACCTATGAGGCTAAGATGGATGTGAATCACACGTTACACATCATTCCTGACTCGAGGCAAGTCAATGCTGATGAGCTGCAACCTGGTGTATGCTATCTGCAAATAACTGCCGTTGATCCTGTAATGGAGGACGAGGACTTGGAGAGCAGGAGGGAAAGGATTTTCTCTTTATCCACTGGTTCTGTTCGTGCACGTGTGTTTGACCGTTTCCTTTTCGACACACCATTCACAAAGAACGGAAAAACGCAAGGTGGCCTAGAAGATCAATGGAAGAGACGCACAGTGCTCCAGACAGAGGGTTCCTTTCCTGCTCTGGTAAATCGTCTGGTGGTGATAAAATCTGAATCTCTAGAGTTTTCACCTGTGGAGAATGCGATTGGAATGATTGAAACAAGGACAGCTGCATTGAGAAATGAACTAGAAGAACCACGGAGCTCTGAAGGTGATCAATTACCAAGACTTCAAAGCCTGCAAAGGATACTCCAAGGAAGTGTGGCTGTTCAGGTAAGGGCTGTGATCCTGCATCTCTGCGCAATATGAACCAGCTTAACTTTGTTTGCTCCTCTATTTCTTTGTATTGCTGATTTTCTCAAAATGTTGTGGTGCAGGTCAACAGTGGTGTATTAAGTGTGTGCACCGCTTTCTTATCTGGCGAGCCTGCAACCAGGCTCCGGTCTCAAGAACTGCAACAGCTGATAGCTGCATTGCTTGAATTCATGGCTGTCTGCAAGCGTGCAATCCGTGTGCATTTTAGATTGATAGGGGAAGAAGACCAGGAGTTCCACACGCAACTTGTCAATGGGTTTCAGTCTCTTACTGCTGAGCTTTCTCACTATATTCCTGCCATACTTTCGGAGCTATGACTGTAGCAAGGTGGCAGGCAGTTAGGTAGCATGTGAATGGTTGGTTGATTTTTCAGTTGGGGATCTGCTCCAAATGTTCATATTTCGAGTAGCTTTGGTTGTATAGTTTGAGAACTAACCGGGGCCTTTGCATTTCTGCTGTGTCACGATTTTGGGGTGTAAAGTATATGCAACTTCTTAGTGTGATGTACCTGGATCATCGTGTTTGTTTGTGGTTTGCTGACAGTGATAGGCAACTTAGCTGGTAGCTGTTGGAGCGGCATTATTATTACTATTATTATCATTATCATTATCATTATCATTATCATTATCATTATTTTATTGTCATTATCGGGTGTGATGACACACTGCAAATTAGCCGCTGGAATGAAAGTGTTTCTTCGAAAGCACGAGCTATTAAAATTGTTCATTTAGAGAAGTACGTTTTCAGTATACTAGATGGTCTTGCCTTGTGCTCGTGCCCTTATGGCCTTATTTACGAAACAAGTTGAATGCTTGTGGTATCAGATATTAAGACCGTGGCTACCAAGCGATACGATAAAAATCTCAAGTTATCAGTATGGTGTGCGGCACCTGTGTAGTACGTCTACAAAACATGCATGCCCTAGCGTCATACCAGCTCAATGCCTTGCATCGGCATGCCAGTCATTCGCACTTACAAAAAAGATGCAGTGCATTTTCCATTCGAGGAGTTCGACAAGGTTTATGTACATCAAAAGCAAATGCTGCAATCTAACGCTACAACATAGCATCTGGTGCGACCCAAGCGAAGTTAGATCTACATTACAGTTCACTCACATGTTGCACTTACAGCTGAGTAAGGCCGCACCATCAGAAATCCTGAAGAACTGGGAAACCCTCATCAAGCCTCTGGGTGGCATAGGCTCCTTCACACCCCATGTGGATCATCCAATCCAGAAGAATACTCTGCTGAGCTACAGGTTGCACATGCACAGCAGTGTTACAACTTCATGAGTGGAGGCTCGGCGAAAAAATATGAGCACTGTCTTCGGTACATGAGGTGGCTGCTGAAGCTTGTTATGCCACTACTGCAGTCAGCTGATCAGGTTATTAGGATGGGCATCTAGATGTAGCTGTCAAACCGTGTTACCGTTTTTAACTTCAGCCTTCTATACTGATCAATCGGGCACCCAAGTGTAGTGTTTATGTCTCTGTATGTTTTAGCTTTTCCCTTCTCTTTCTAGCAGGCCCAAGACACTCATAAGGATTTGCATAGAAGTAGTCCTCTTCCTTAGGCTGCCCTGCGATGACTTTTCTTCTCGTGGGCTGGCTCATTCGGCCCTCATGTAGCTCCTTGACAGCAGTACAGAATTCATTCCATGACAGCTCCTGGTCTTCAAAAAGATCTATAAGCTCAACCAGCTTCTTCCTATCAAGCTGTATAGTCCTGTGGAAGCCCATAAACCTGCATTTGCAACATATACACCTCTCAGTTAACCTAGGGGTGTTCATTTTACTCTTGCTCACTATAGCCGCGATTCTTCAAAGCAAACATCTACATCCACACGATAGCTGTACACTAGACTTCCCACCCAGCTAATCATGTCATAATAACATATAAACATGGTGGGAAGAAGAAAATATGCTCATATTAGGAAGGTCAGATAGACATGCCTGCGGTGTCCTTCCACAACTTTAGCCATGTTTCCATCATTACTGGGAATAAAAACATCACTCGCGACAGAAACAAGATAGTCCAGGGCTGCCATTTGAGTCGAGTGTTTTTGGAAGAGGTGTAGCTCATCTTCAGATAAAAGCATCTCCTTACGCACCTACAGTTTGAATATCAGATAAGCATCATTTTAATGTTAGCAAGAAATTCTGGATGTTAAATTATGATCTGCTTACGATGTTAGGGAACTCTGCCTTCAACGCAGCTAATCTTTTTTCACCACCGTAGATTTCACCAGAGGCAATATATATCCTAGTGTCCCTGGGGATACCAAGAGCTTTGAGCACTAATGTTGTTTCCCCAGGTGTAAGCGGGCAGAGGCCCTCGAGCCTTTTCTTCTCAGAGTCTATTTCCTTTTCTTTCCACCAGGGATATGCATACCTGAGGTCCAAAGAACAGACAGAAATGAACATTCAATACAAATGATGGGAGGAGAAAGTATGGTTAACTGAAAAGCTGTATCGCCGAAGGAACCTCATTCTCGTGAGCTCTGCTGTTTCTTGACCAGAACATCCGTGTGTACAGCCAGAGAAGGCGAGCATATCCATCTCATATCTCAGATGAAGCACAACAAAAGATCCAGTTTTCCTGAGACTCGATATCATCTTGTTGCCTAGGGCCTCAATGGATGGTGTAAATCTTAATGCATTGTAGTTAACATGGCAGCGAAGCTTTTGGAGCTTCAGAGGAAGGCCATTGTTCGCAAGGCGAGAATCTGTCCTGCTAAAACGTATAACCTTGTGCTTTCGTACAAGAGGCAAGATCTGGAAGGAAGACAGCTCTGACAGTAAGAATCAAGCAGAGGATAGGACAGAAGTATAAATCTATCTCTTGGAGGAAGATTACTTCTAACCTGTCTCAAATAGTATTTCTCACTAGACCAGCTGACTGGTTGCATTGATAATGGAACTTTCCCATTAAACTTATGTGGGAGTTCTCTGATAACCTTCACCTCATCTCTTAAAGAATAGATGAAATGATTCACATCAAATATATCTCCAAAATCACTGCAAAGTACAAATACATCGAGTCAGCAATTGCAAGTTCTAACTGCATAATCAACCACCAAAAGGAAGTGTGAGAACCACACACCTAGGATCAGCCCAGAAGGATTGCTTATCAAGTTCAGGTACAACCATGGTCAGATTCAAATAGCGTGCTACAGTTACCATGTCACATATCTGCACAAGAGAAGCTTTCGTGGAGCATTAGCAGAGCATAATTGGACGCTAACATTTCAGTAACACAAGACCAGAGAGTTTGCATTCATTACTGACCGCAGCTCGCATTTGGTTCAGACCGCCATTGCATGAAACAAGAAGATAACCGTTACTTCTGTAAGATCCTACAGGAGAGAAAGAAAGATTTACTCTGCCTGAACTTATCATTGTGGCAGCGTAAACAGCTCTGCTACTATCAACACCACTACCAGTTGATGCTGCATATATGTCAAAATCAAACTACACAGTAGACTCAGGTAAAGATGAGGAAACTGTATTCTTGAGCAATAAAATTTTCTGCAAAGGGAGCTACAAACTGTTTCTGTTGGATGTATCACCAACATGGTGATTAGAACATCACCGTGTAACAGGGAAAAACTTCCACGTTGCCGAAACATAAAGTTTTCCTTAAATATAAATACCAATTATCTCCATGTCTACAACAGATATTAGACCTAGCATTCCCAAGCAAACGACACAAATGCACCTTGTCAACAAGCCAAAACACAAATTAAGACCCCACTTTTTGGCATAACGACTCGCATCACAGGACCAAAGCGACCCCAACTCACCAACTAATTGGAAACAGCATAAGACAACACCAAACAATCAATTATTCTCTAGCCAGTCTCCGTCACAAGAGCCCATCGAAATCCATTTTTGACCAACCCACCAAATCGGCATTGAAAGCTAAAAGAACCAAGACATGCACTAATTAAGAGAAATCATGCAACTATGAACTCACAACTTCGGCAATCATGAATTTCCAAACATCCCAATGGCACCAGATTAACGATCTACACCAAGAATGACTCAAATTGGCTGGGCTCGTTCGTTCAATTCCCGTAAACGATTCGATCCTATCTAACGAATGCTGTCAGTAACCACATTTGGGCTGCCGCTACTGAGATAGCGAGCCCCTCAACGAAGGAGGACGAGAGTAGGTAGGACCAGATTCCAAGAACCCAACCCAGAACAAAGAATCGCCCAACGGCGAGATCAAGAAGACAAGAACCACTTACTCCTGGTAGGTAGAGCTGGGGGTGCAAGGTCCCCTACATCGTCGGAGGCGACGGCGGTTACGGCGGAGGCGGTTGCAGAGGCATTGCGGTTCCCTATGCAGGACGGGCGGGCGGCGCGGAGCGGCGAGAGGGGTAGACCGAAGAAGGTGGAGAGCTGGAGGAGCGCCGTCCAGAGCACTATGCTGGAGGCGACCCGCACCGCCCAGCGCAACAAACCGACACCGCCTATGCGGCGGCGGATCACCGGAAGCGAGGCCTTTTGCTTGGCCATACGGGCTTCCGACTCCTATGGCCACTAACTAGTGGTCGTGTATACAAGCGCAGGATGGCCAGGAGCGTTCGTTGTTCTACCACAGACTGGGCTTAACTGCAGGGTGGGTGCGATTGGTAGTACTAGTAGTAATTATCAAAACTTTCTCAAAAAAAAAAAGTAGTAATTATCAAAAGATAATTACTACTGTAGGGATTAGAAGCATCTCCGGCAAGAGCCTCTACTCTAAGCCTACTTTAAAACAAAGCCCACTATTTTAGGGCATCTCACACGGCAACCCATAAGTTTTCTTCCGCATCTGTCAACAGACACGGATATGAGAGAACATCATCCAACGCTAGCCGCATACATTTCAAACTTTTTTTCCAGCAAATTGGATGAAATTCATGCAAACACGGCTGGATTTCATGTAAACATGACGGATTTCATACAAACCGGACGAGGACGGTTACATTTTGAACATATTTTAACTAAAAAGGTAAAACTATGTATTTGCACGTACAGTCGTGCGGAGCTCCACTCTCACGACACGGATACGCTGCACTAGTCTACGGTTGGCCGCGGCGGATCACTTTGTCTTCCCCATGTCCAGCAGCTCGCTAACCGGACCGTCCGAGCCCTGGAGGCACATTCTTCCACGTATCTTCCCTATGTCTGGCTACGCCGCTCATTGGAGTGGCAAAGAGGATGCTTCAGTCGGAGGGGAAGGTGCTTCCGTGAAGCCCAGACGGGTGTGCCCAGGATGGTCTGAGATAAAGACCGGGTAGGTCACTGGCTGTACAGGCCGGCGACGCACCGACGGTGGCCTCCATGGGATACAAGCGGCGGCGGCCTCCATGCGATACAAGCGGCGGCGGCGGCCTTCCATGTTCTACTTCTCCTCGATGATGGTGGGTGGCGCAGACATGCTGGCCGCCACCTCGTCGACATCCGCGCAGCCGACTTATTTCTCTGCATGCATGGCACGACTACGCGCGCATCAACGATGGATGGCGCGGTTGCACACACTGGAGGCGGTGATGCCCGTGCCGCCGTGCTCCCCCCTGTGCCGGGATGGAGCAACTCGCCACTCTTCCATGATTTGGCTTCGAGTGGCGAGTTGCTGAACCAGGCGCCGGCTTGGGGCGGTAATTGGCTCCATCGGGCTAGGCGGGGGAGGTGGTGCAGCGAGCTGCCTCACTCGTATCCGGCAGGCTCGGCAGGCCACCCAGCTAGCTTTTATGCCGGAGAACTGCTCTTTCGGCTCGTTGATGCTCGAAAGAGTGGAGAAATGGTGAAGGAGATGGGAGCGGCTGAGTGGTGCGAATCTTGCCCGGCCTCTGGCCTCGTTTAAATAGAGGGCAGATGGGAGGAGTTTGCCCCGCCTTGCGTTTAATTTGAGCCCGCCTGTGAACGGACGTGTGGCCGGAGTAGGTTTCTTGGCTTCCACGTGGGTTTAATGGAGGTGTTTGAATGCGGCGAGGAGGCGCGTTCAGCCGGGCGTGCAGCGGGCGGCGCCCTCAGCCGGCGCGCCATTTCGATGGCGGAGGGAGTGACAGGTCATGTCCACCCTGAGCCGCCTTCAACGTCGAGCGGCGCGCTCTACAACGGCATGAATGCGGGCAGCTAGACAATAGGCGAGAAGTGCGCGGGGGGCGAGGGGGGGTGGGGTGAGCCAGGGCGATCAGAAGCGAGTGTGACAGCGGTTCGGACTCCCGCAAACCTTCCCCACGTTTGTCTCCGGTTTGCAGGAGAAACGCGTCGCAGACCGACACAGGACTGCGTTGGATGGCTTCCGCAGTCCGGACGCATGCAGGAGGTTTGAGGGTCGGCGTTGGAGATGCCCTTAGAGCAAAGGCTGAATAGAGATTACTCAAAGTTCACCAACAATAAAAATGTAAATGCCTAGTTACACTCATCTCTATGACCGTGCACACACACGAGCACCCGACCCTCCGAGAGATCGGGACCATAGATATGAGATAACGAAGTCATTACAAATGCTTTATAGTTGATAGGCACACCATATCATTGTGAGATAGTAGCGCAGAAAACACTGAAATAAATCAAGAAAAATGGGGTAACATATGCCAAATCTAAAACTTGAACAAAATGGATAGATTCCACCGGTAGAAACATAGTCATTCCATCTATGCTCATCTCGCCTAATAATCAGTGTTTGCATCCTCGAATCATTTTTTCCTTTTGATTTAGATTATTTATACTTTTTTTTTGAATTTTTAAACCCCCGAGGGGTGGGGTGGAATCCCCCACCTGAATCTTTATATATTTTCGATGGGATAGGCCCCAAGTTGGTAACAGCAGCGGTTTACGGGCGTAGCCTAAAGGCTAACTCAAGAGAAGGATTACAGAGGGAGAGGGTGAGGGACCAAGACACACACGATCAACCCACACCATACACCATG